TATCCGTGGCATTAGTCTTGGGATCAGTATATTTTCCCACAAACCATCCCATCCCATAACCAGATAGTCTGGGAGTCCACAGCTCTTTAACTGTCGCCGATTTCAGATATCCTTTAGATTTAACACAGAATAAGGTTTAACACAATTTCATAACAAATGAATAAATTGACAAATAAATAAATGCTAAAATACCATGGCCTTTATAACTCTTAATCATAATATCAGTGAAAGTTAGCAAATCGGGAACACTTGTAATAACGCCTCCCATTGGAAGCCATGGTAGCGGTTGGCCTAAGTCCTCAATAAGTGCCGCACTTTTTAGAATCCAATGTTTCTTATCAGGAGTTTGTGTCCGAGTGTATGGTCTGATCCGGTGAGGGATTATGAGCTCATGTCTTGAAAGTCGAGTGGAATTCATGTGAAATTCTGCGAACAAGCCATTCATATTGACCTCAAAGTCTTGTCCGGTAACGGACTCCATGATAGCACCGATCAAATGCCAGCCCCAGTTGGAGTAATAGAATTTAGTGCCCGGTTTGGCCACCAGTGGGTCCCCACGAAAATAGGCTAAAGTGTCGGTCACGTTATGGCAGTCGAGGATACGACGGAAGTCTCGTAAATCTTCCGTTGATCTGATGCCTCCTGTCATTGACATTAATTGTCGAACTGTTATATTCACCACTTGTCCTATGTTTTAGACATAGATTTAATTTATGGAGAAAATAATTTCTATAAAACAAACCTTCCCATCGTTTCACAGGAAAGTCCTGTTCACTGATATATTGATGAATCTCTGAGTCCCACACAATTTTGCCGGACTCCACAAGTTTGGCCATCAGTGTGGTCTCAATAGCTTTACTAACACTACCCGTCCGGAGAACTGAATCGGTTCTACACTTAACATCATTCTCGACGTCCGAATAGCCAAAACTTTGGACCCAAACCTGTTTACCCATATAATTGATACCCACTACTAATCCGGGTATAAATTCATCGCTTTTAAATTTCTCCACCAATTCTACACTATCTTTGATCGCATTTTTAAAGTCTTGAGTTTGGATCAAATGAATTGAAACCAAAAATATAAATAAATTATAAAATGAAAAATTCATTACAAGTATTTTAATGGATATTACAAATTATAGCAAAAATAATAAAAACCTGTATACAATCAAATCATATCTTAAGACTATTGAATAAATACACAAAAAACAACCCACAAAGAGAAAAGTTTTGATTGTATTAATACTATCAAATCAAGTGATACCGGAAAACAATGGAAAGATAAAAACTGAACAAAAAAGCAATTTTAAATGGATACCTTACTCTTTAATATCTAATTCTTTATAAGAATTTTTATAAAATATCATAATCCTTTGTGTTAAGCAATTACTTTTACAAATGAATTCAAAACAGATAGCGATGTCTTATCCAAATTAATGCCTCCCATATTGGCTATCATTGCCACTGATATGTCTAACTCTGGAACCAATGCTACAGTGCATACACTGCCCGCAACAGAACCAGAATAATGGATAAACTGCTTATCCGTGGCATTAGTTTTAGGATCAGTATATTTCCCGACATACCATCCCATGCCATAACCAGATAGTCTAGGAGTCCACAGTTCTTTAACTGTCGCCGATTTCAGATATCCTTAGATTCAAAATATAATTATTAATGGATTTAACAGAATTTCGTATTAAATGTTATAACTATAATACTTTACCATCATTTTTACTATAACTATTGAGCATAATATTAGTAAATGTAAGCAAATCGGGAACACTTGTGATAATGCCTCCCATTGGAAGCCATGGCAGTGGTCTACCCAAGTCCTCAATAAGTGCCGCACTTTTCAGAATCCAATGTTTCTTATCAGGAGTTCGTGTCCGAGTGTATGGTCTGATCCGGTGAGGGATTATGAGCTCATGTCTTGAAAGTCGAGTTGAATTCATGTGAAATTCTGCGAACAAGTCATTCATATTGACCTCAAAGTCTTGTCCGGTAACGGACTCCATGATAGCACCGATCAAATGCCAGCCCCAGTTGGAGTAATAGAATTTAGTGCCCGGTTTGGCCACCAGTGGGTCCCCACGAAAATAGGCTAAAGTGTCGGTCACGTTATGGCAGTCGAGGATACGACGGAAGTCTCGTAATTCTTCCGATGATCTGATGCCTCCTGTCATTGACATTAACTGTCGGACTGTTATATTCACCACTTGTCCTATGTTTTAGACACACATTTATTTTTAAGATTACCGATAGTTGTAATAGAGTTTATAGAGAAAGCAATTTCCATAAAACATACCTTCCCATTGTTTGACTGGAAAGTCCTGTTCACTGATATATTGATGAATCTCTGAATTCCATATAATTTTTCCCGACTCAACAAGTTTGGCTACCAGTGCCGTCTCAATAGCTTTACTCACACTACCCGTCCGGAGAACAGTATCCGTTCTACACTTAATATCATTTTCGACGTCCGAATAGCCAAAACTTTGGACCCAAACCTGTTTACCCTTATAATTGATACCCACTACTAATCCGGGTATAAATTGATCGCTTTTAAATTTCTCCACCAATTCTACACTATCTTTGATCGCATTCTGAAAGTCTTGAGTTTGGATCAAATGTATTGAAACCAAAAATATAAATAAATTATAAAATGCAAAATTCATTATTTCACTCTAAATTATAAGTTATAGCAAAAAATATAAACACTTATGCAATCAAACCTTAACGCAACATAACTGAATAAATACACAAAAAGCAATCAAAAAGTAAAAATTATTGATAGTATTCACAATACAACTATCAAATCGAGTGATACATGAAAACAATGAAAAGATAAAAACTGAACAAATAAGCAAAACATCAATAACTTTAGATTTTAAATACACAACTTTATTGTAGAAACAATAGTCAATTCAAATACATATTAAATACAAAATAGATTTTTGAACACAAATCGACTCAAAAGATAAATCAAAAGAAAATATTAAATACTAATAATGAATGAAATCTCGAATAAATGGGAAAAAAGTGATTATTTAGTGTTTAAATGTATGACAAAATTAATTAATTAATTGAAAAAATAAATCTAATGAAAAAAAAGTTTGCAAAAACAGCACTATAGCCGGCGTTTGGAGGGCCCTCTCATACCACCACCGCCTCCTCCGCCGCCACCGCCACCACCGCCGCCGCCGCCGCCGCCACGACCTCCACGTCCGCGCCCTCTGCCTCGTCCACGAGCGGCACCCGATCGGGAGGCCATCGCCTCGCGCTTCTTGGCCTTAGCCTTAGGCGTGTCGTCCACCAGAAGTGTCTCCAACGGTAATGCGTCCGGAAGTATGTAATACCGGATATTATTGCCCCGAATGGACAGGGAGTCCAGCGTTTGCGAGCCGCCCGTCCTATTCAACAGCTTCACGGACTTCAGGTGCGTATTCATCGCCACATCGACGCCCGCTATCGTACCGCTCACCTGTCCGTCCAAATAGACACAAAACAATGGGTTAGTCATTACGGACAGCAATGGTTAGTGTCATATTGGCTGCAAATACTGACAACTGTTCCGTTCTTGAGCTCAACGGTCACCGTCTCGTGCGATAACTTCATGAGAAACCTGTCGTTCAATGCAAACAATTGTCACTTCAGTTAATCCCAAGAGTTTTGATTGTCTCGCGATTGGAGACACAGACAGACAGACAGACAGACAGACAGACAGACAAACACAGGGTTTGCCAGTCAATGGTGTCAATACATACCGGACTAACTTCATGGCTATCGGTGTCTATCGGCTATGACTTAAATATATTACAAATTAGTATTTAATTCACAATTAATTAAAAGTTTAAATGATTTTAATTTCAAATGAATTGTGTTTTTGTTATGTTTTGTGCGACCGGTGTGTCGACACGTGTGGCAGTGCGCACGCGCCGCACATAAATACTGGCCATTCACACCACTATTTGTTACTGTATTTTATAACTAATTGTCATTTAATTCAATATCTAATCAAATATAATGAATTGTTTCACTAAATTATAATCTATATTGTGTTCAAAAATTAATTAATTGCATGTATTTTACACTACAAGTAAAGCAAATCAATTTCCATAACATTTATTGACACCATTTATGGCTACACCTATGCTTTATAAACACTGGAGTACAGTATCGTACGAGACGTTGTAGACAATCCAAACGCTATACCAATGGTCGCGATCCACAGGCGCCTTGCGTTCAAAAATTTGAATCAAGCGGCAAATCAACGGCTGTTTGTGACCTCAACTTACCACTGATTTCACGACACAATTATCTCTCACTTAACCCCCGATGGCGTCGAACAAGATCTCGGAAGAGGACATCATATCGTTCATGAGGAACATGTTCGGCGTGAGCATAGCCAGGGATCAGCTCCAGGCGCCCACGAA